AAAAAAAAAAAAAAAATATACAATCAAAAGAGTCATTAGTCCTTACAAAAATAAATAGAGAACCACACTGGTGGCCTTAAATCAAACACCAACAAAATACTGAAGACATAGACAAATCTATGAGACCTAAAGCACCACCAAACTAAACCACACAAAAAATAAACCAGCACAAAAAGATTCCAACAGAGTAATGAAAAACGACCCCAACGGAATGAATACGCGCATTCTCTTTCAAAAATACATAATGACACGAACTTGTAAGTCTTCGAAAGTCTATTCTAGAGAAATGGTGGCCTTACTATGGAAAATGCTATCTCAAAAACAGGACAAGAAACAATATTTCCAATTTTCGAAAAAAAAAAACCCAAAATATTTAAATACTTTACACTACAGAATAAATTAAATAATTTGTTTACATTGGCTGAGAAAATAACTTACTGTTAAATTATTCTACTTTTTATCTGTTTAATTTAAGTCCAACTGTGGGCCCCGCGAGTAATATTGTTTTGAGTTCGAGTCGGTTGCCAATGTTGATATGATTTCATGTTGACTCACTTTTCTTTTTAGTTGGGGCATATTGTAATTTAGGTTAAAAGCATTATTTTAAATAACTTGCTGTATAGCTTGCGATAGCGCTTAAAAAAAAAAAAAACACGATGTAGCTTAATATAATTAACTTTTTTTCCAAAAAAACTTATGCAAAATGTTGAAATGTACGCTATTTTACAGATTTCACGCTATTTTGAGTTATAATTCTACAACGACATTTAAATAAACAAATATTCAAACACTAGTATTTTTATAAGTATTCGAGTCGCATTTTTCAAATGACAACTAAAAACTAAATCGTTTGATAATGATTTTAAAAGAAAATGCAAAGTCCTAAGTTAAATAATGTAATATATATCAGTCTAATTCCATCATACCATTTTATTTATCGGTATTTGACATTTAAATTGAAGCTTAAACAAATCTAATCTAGTAGTTAGCAATAAATTGTAGTTAAATTAAAAAAAAAAAATTCAAAATGCACATACTAAAAATTAAATTATCATTAACCTTACTAATTTATGTTGTTTGTTTCTATTTTTAGTATATTCGCTATGTTATTAAAATATTTATATTACAATATTTACATTAAATATTTGAGAGAAATAATTCTTAGATATCACTTTTTAATTTATTCAAATATTATGATAATTTTTGGAATCAACCATCTTGTTTTATTATATATATATATATATGTTATTTCTATAAAAATATTTCTAATGCCCATATTTGATAATTTTTGAAATCAACCATCTTGTTTTATTATATACATATATATGTTATTTCTATAAAAATATTTTTAATGCCCAAATAGATTTACGCAACACGCAAGCAATATTTATACTACACAGTATGAAGATTAAAACGCGACGCAATACGCTATACGCGTTTGGAAACACTGCTAGTAAGTTGCAATCAATGATTGTTATAAAATATTATCATTTTTATGCATAAAAGCACACATATTTATCAATAAAATGGTCACCATAAAAGCACACATATTTATCAATAAAATGGTCAACAAAACCCAGCTGCTAAAAAAATGAACGTATTAATTTGTGAAGCCGTTGATAAGGGGAGATGCACCAAATCTTTTACCAGGATAAATATATTATATATATATATATATATATATATATATGTATAATTCAGATTTGGGATAAGATTACAACTAATGAGAAAATGCCTAGCTACTGGACTTATTCTATCTCATATTATATTTTACTGTTAGCTGACGCCACCGAATATCTCCCATATATCTAATCTGGATAATGCTCCTCTACCACGGTGACATATGTTAATATGCCCACCAATTATATAGCATGCACATATTGATGATGTTAATATATTTAAAAAATACATCACCAATGTGTGCGTGCCGCATAAACAGTAGGTATATTAACATGTGCCCACGCGTGGATAGGTGAGCATTACTCAAATCTATCCATTGAATACTAATTGGTTCAGTCGGCAGAACCCATAAATAAAGAAACAAATTTCAAAATAGTCTTGTACCAAAAAAAAAAAAAAAAA